TTTTATCGAACTCTTCCGTCACTCCCACCCTATTTCCACGCAGCCTTTCGGTCCAAAATACCTGACCGCCTTTTGCAGCTAAGTCAGATGACCACTGCTTTCCAATGATAAACACTTCAAAGTTCGTTTCGAATGTCATGATATGAATTTCGTCAGATATCTGGATCTTCACTTTAATCAATGGCTTCTGCGATGGGTAACTTATCATACTTCAGCCTGATAAATATAAAAGGGGTAGGGCCTCTGGAAGTGTTACCAAATAAAGCATTCATACTCCCAGACCAACAATACTCTCCCCCTGAAGAGTGTCACCAGGAGTCAATGTTCCCTTTTTGAATTTGCTTTAGTTTGCCTAACTCAGTGTTTTTGGCATGTAAAGCCACTTTCGTAATTTTTTTTAGGCAAAGTAGGATATACTTCTGCGTGAACTGGGAGTAGTTCATACTTTGCCTGGTCACATTTTATGCAGAGTCCTAAAATCTGAACGAGGCATGGAATACCCTACTTAGCTGTAGCCGCGCCTTTCGATGTGATGACCGGTTTGTGGATAAGAGGAACGGAAAGCATCGAAACAATTCGCAAATGTCTTTTTACGAAGCCCCAAAGATGCGATTTCAGACCTCGGCTGGACCAGCACTGGGGTTCGGATCATGAGTACGTAGTGGCAGTAAGAAAGCCAGAGTCACCTATGCTAGTATCTAGTGTTTTGGTAATGTTTCTGCAGACTTCTGATTGCTCATCACCATACGACAGGATCTGATGGTCCAAGAACTAGTAAAATCGTCCATCACCACGTCCTACATTCGGAATGAGTGGATGGGCGCCAGTTTCTTATGCCTATTATATGCCCGATCACGGTTAAAAGAGTGTGAGTCGGGTGTCTCAAACAGCAAGAACGTCTGACTTAAATCCTGAAGGGATCACTGGACCCAGATTTGCGGTCCATCAATAAATAAACCAAAGAGACATTCTCCATGTCCATAATGCCTGTCAGTGAAATACTCTAGGGAACCAAAATCTAACCTCGAGTACATTCAAGAAGTCAAAAACCCAGACTCCCTAATAAAAGCTGACATAACAATACTCAACTATTTCTGCAGATGTGTTTCGGACCTCAACACACTAATTAGCGACTGCAACAATTGAAAACAACCAGAGACAACGCTCCTTAGTCTCCCGATACGACAAAGAATATCGACGAATCAGGACTCACCTCAATTCCCTGGCCTTTCACGTGGCATTTGAATAGTACGTCGCATATTTCATTTGGTCAGTTGCCTAACTTTAAAAAGGACCTCCTGGTGATTATTGGACTAACAAGGATGCTACGAAAATTGCGCAACGTTGGAATGTGCTTTCTTTCATAACACGGCGCGATCGCAAGACTGAATCTCTGAAATGGTATACTTTTGTACTTGGCAGTTCGGTAGGTCGTTGCCTGTTCGTGACGACCGCCACCAAGAGACGGAGTGAGTTTGTTTTGAGATGCCCATTAGGTGCTAACATTCCTGTGTGAGTTAGAGTAACGCTCACAATCAATCGATGGCCTTGCAGGAAATCAGTATCAGGTGAACTCGATGAATGATGATGTGTGGGGAAAAATCAGACAGGTGAAAAAGATAAACATTACTATTGCCTCTACAGTGCTCTAAAATAGAGTACTTTGCACAGGGTAAAACACAAAGCCCGGCAAGTTTAGCGTCCTGCTTAAATGCTAAAAGTACTTCTGACCATACCAAAAGTTGACAAATCACTGCATGTGTGAACCCACAGCAACCAATTGAAAGGCGCGATCGAGTGCTGGCGATGCTGCACCCTCAACTACTACGCGTACCTGAAGTGTTGCAGAAAATTGCTGATAAGGGCCTAGGTAGACCCTTTCTGATTAAATTTCAAACTTACATACTTGTCCTTTCGGTTGTTTCTGCACAATTCGAATAAGTGAGGGGATGTAATTGAGTGGGATAGTAACTGGAAGACCGTGAGTCTGGTGTCCGAAACAGGCAGAGCATTTGACTTCAGTGTTCAGTGACCCGGTGAAGTCTGATCAAAACCCCGGGTGCGTCAGCGAGCAACAGGCTTATGAATATGTGAATATGTTGCTTTTTGAGACTCGCACTAAGATGTCGCATTCTACTGTCAGCCGAGTGGCAGGCGAGCACCAACTTACACGACTGACCAGTTTTCTCATTTGATACCTTCCATATTCAGAGCTTTCTTGGTCATTGTTAGCATACTTCTTTAAATAGTGCGCTGCTTCAGCTAAAATGCTATTTTATATGTTCTTAAATCCCACAGCCGAGCAAAGAACTATGAAGGAGACGGCCTGGTGTGACGGAGCTGTGAATGGCACCTCAAACATTTGATGTTCTTGGCCTAATTCTGCATAGCCACTCGATGTCCCTAGAGGCTGGGGATTTAGCATCGAAATCTGCAGGCCATTGATCCCTTTTGCAGTCTAACTCATGGGACTGACTGCTTAATCCACTTATGGGATTGCAGTTTTACCAGCTTTGGCTAGAGGAAGGACTAAAACCATCGATGCTCAAGTGGTCTCAACTGGTACTCAGAGCACAAGCTAATCCCTTGACTAACCACGCTTTTTGGGAAAGGCATTCGACGCTGAGCCAATGTACGGCCAAAATTCTAAAAGCCAACATTCGGTAGGTAACAAGCTTTCCTGGAAGATCTTACGGTTCACAATCAGTGAAAAAAGATAAAATTACCGCACTCCGTCCTCCCTTTTCTTTAGTTTCATTTATCAAATGTTTTGTTACCATAATTTGAGAAGCACATGAAGGGTTGAGTGACAATTTTAAACATGAGTTTGGTGAAATATATTACTTTCAGGGAAGCTGTATGGGTGACCAAAACAAAGTATAAACCCACGTTCAATATCGCACAGTAAGATGTTCTCTTCCAGCACGTTATGTACATCAACTGCAGAAAAATTAGTGCTTAACTATTTGATATCTTTATTTTTATCTGTCTATGGAGGTTTCATAACTTTATCGGAAAAGTGCACAGAAATGGACTTATAAAAGTCGTTTAGGCAAATTACGTCTTCTTTGCAGTTGGGACTTAAAACTGTGTTTTCGCGTTAAACATGCTCGCAATCATGCCACCGGTTTGGATGTTGGTAGGAGCATCTGTAGCTCCTGACATCTGCTTTATTGATGCTGAATCCAAACGGTACAGGAGGGGCGTAACTTGCAGTTTTATGTGTATCCTATGACTGCAAATAAGAACACAAAGCCTTGATGTCTCCGAAGAACCGAATACAGTGAACAGTTTGGAAAGCGGGCAACAGAAGAAAGGCAGGTAGCACTCAGAAAATACACCGGCATTAGTGTCGGTTGTTAAGACCAAATATATCCTGTCTTCAAGAGTAGGATTTCAGAACAATAAAATTTGCCAAAAGTTGAGAACAGAAATTGTGCTTTTTCTTGGACCGCCTAGAAAAGACTCTAAATCTATACACGAATAGGCGGGAATTATCACAAGCGGCAAAATGAAGATCCAAAGTACGCGTGACGGATGAATAGGGATTTTGCTTACTCAGTCCGATTTACGCTGGCGGACAGAATGATAAAAAAGCAAAACCAGCCTTGGACAGAGTAGTAATTGACCAGGGATTCGACTTCGCACAAACTAGCACACCAAATCCACCTAGGTGATCATTCCTACTTGAGTACCTAGTTAAAATTTAAGTAAAAATTTCATAGGCCTCATCGTTTACTGAACTTCTTCGGTTCGTTCATCCCAGCTTCTTCTTTAACCTTGGGCAGCTTCATCGCCACTCATCCTACTGTCAAGCAGACGTCCTGAAGATCACAAATTCGTTATGCGTCCCTATCGTCAGCAAACGATGAAGTAACATTTATGCGTAAGAGGTCGTTACATCTACTTATAACACGCTGACAGGTAACTAATAGAAGGCACGATCACTGGGACAGTAGCTTTATTGGTCTTAGCTTTCGAACGCGAACTGGAGTTCATCAGAGACTGTTCGAGTGCAGCAACGTGGGAACATCTATACCGTTGCGCCGTGAGGGGGGGGGGGATTACGTCCGTGGCTAGGTCTGATTTGTGCTCTCTGGCCCACAATGGTCTCCCGGCGTGCTGACGACGTTTGTACTTCGCGGCGATGTGAGCTGCGCCACCTGGCTGCGTGGGCTGAGCGCGTGATAACACGCAGGCAAATCGACGCGTCTATTGATAGATTCGGTGTCTGACACCCGCGCCTCCAATAGTTCCCGCCCCGTCTTGTTGCCGGCTCGCGCTAATATTCGTGTGTTGGAGAAGTCGAACTCACGGCCTTCCTCAAGCGTGAGTTGCGACTTGAGATAGTGGGTCACCTCTCCGAACGGCCCGTTTGTGCTCAAGTATTCGTGAGCTGAGACGCCGTCCTGTTTGGCCTGTGCAATGACGAGGACAGTTATGGCACGGAATTTGATAGACTACGCCCGACTGCTCACCTGCGTCCAACCGATTCTTCATTTTCATGATTCCGCTATGCATGGCAACCGTCGGATGATGGGCGATGCCCACGCCTAACTCTGAGGCAATGCGTTCTATGGCCTCGGACACATTCTTTATGTATGATAGGTAGTGCCTGGTAACTGCCGACAGAAACGAAAAGACAATTTACAAGAAGAAGTCGTGAAGAAGGGGGCACGATTGCTGGAACAAAGGCTTTATTCGCCTGACATAGTTGCACAAGGACGCTGTGCAGGTGTGCTAAGACGCACTGCAGTGAACCTGAAGACATGGTTGTTGAATTATAATATCATCGATGGAAGCTTGGGACGAATGTCCACCAGAGCAACTTCGTCAACCGCTACATGTGAAAACGAGACGAGAGCCTAAATCCAACCGACTTCAAATGTTCATGGGCTAGCCCGTACGTCAGAGACTTCTAAGAAGCTGTCAGCCGCCTTCTCTCACCACTCGGATTTTGGGTCTCACGCAGACCGGAGGCAGCTATAAGGCGCCTGGTCATGAGGACGAATAACCCACTGCCACACAAGAAGCGCATGGAGTCATTTACCGGATCTGGTGCGGTTGTGGGCAAAACAACTACATCGGCGAAACTATCAGACTACTCCGGACCCGAATGGCCAAACATGCAGCAGCAGAAGCAGCAGCAGCAGCAGCAGCAGCAGCAGCAGCAGCAGCAGCAGCAGCAGCAGCAGCAGCAGCAGCAGTGAGGAGGAATGACATAAACGCTCAGGTCTCGGCCCATTCGGAGGGACCCCGCCACGCATACAAGTTCGATGAGGCCGAAATTCTCCGGAGAGAGTGACAACCGTGCGAGCCGCAAACTACTTGAGTTGTGGTTTTCCGACCCTAAGTCAATTACCAGGCGAAATGACCTCCCCCTCCGCTTTCTGTGCTTGGACTTTGTGTCGACAGGATAATTATCCACTCAGGGAGCGCGCGGGCGAGCACCGTTCCTAGGAGGAAAGGCCCTAAAGGCCCACACGAATGATAGAATTTCGGCGATTAAAGACTCGACCGCGGGGAATTAAGCAATTATCGCTTCACGTGCAGCAAACTGCTATGAAGGTGAGAGAGACAAATAAATGTATACCTTCGTCTCCTGAAGCCGACGAAGAAGAAGAGAGGGTGAGGCCAAATTATCTTTGTACTGACGTTTCGGAAACTTTCTCGGTCACTGCTCCTGCCGGTCTTGAGTTATACGGTCTTGCCGCCCGTCTCGTATTACAGCCGTGCACGATGCACGAACTTTGACCTGCCCGTTTGCTGCCGACTAGCTTTGATCCCCTCGAGGATGGCCGCTGGCGGGCTCACGTGATCTTCGTCCCCTTGTCAGTCGGCGTAGTTGTAGCCAGGCCAGAGCGCCTGTGCTCAACTGGCACAAACAATCGAGCCGCAGACCCGCGTACCACCCACCAGGCGCCACGTACAAGGCTCGGATCAGTTTGGTCAGGGCCAATAGGACAGTCGAGCGCGGGGAACTGGGAGCTGATGCTCATGGAGAAGAAAGGAGAGGACGGCCGGAGGTCACATGACCAACATCGAGCACTGGCTCACCTGCGCGCGCGCGAGGCTGAAAGTAACTCAAACGAACAGCAACAATTAATCAGTCCGTCGACTGACATGGGGACGGCCGACAGGAAGATTGGGCTAGTTACAACTACTCACAAAGGGACGAAGGTCACGCGAGCCCGCCAACGGCCACCCTCGAGGGGATCAAAGCTAGCCGGGGTAACGATAGGTTGTGGGCCCCATAAGGAGATGGCAACTCCAATCGCGTCCACCCCCCTTCCGCGCGGTTTGCTCACTTACGGTCTGTAGATGAAATAATTACAAATATTTATTCATCAGGATTGCATACAGCCGCTTTCAAGACCCTTGGGACTGCGCAATCAACTAGCACCCTCTATCCCGTTCAACAATTGACTTCACAGTTTAACGGGCTACTACTTCATTTTGGGTATCTCTCTTTAAAATAAAAAACTTCAACGACATACCTTCGTTACTTAAATTGAAAATTCCACGACACACTTACGCTACTTCAGTTGGGTTACTGCTTCCTGTGACCACTTTTTCGCTTTGTTCTGCGTCCTCGTCTCAGTCATCCATCACTTTCTTCGAACGTTTTGCTGAGCGACCAGGGTAATGCGCTCCCACTTCCTATTAGTCTACAGCTTTCCCGTCCAATTTTTTTCTTTGTACCGTGCACCCCAGCCGCTTCCACAAACTGTTTTACATACATCTTTTAATTTTTATATTACACATTCATATTTCACCTCTTCTAAACTACTTTCGCCTGCTCGAATATGACTCCGCTTGTCTATCTATATTTCCGCCTTTTCCTTGGCCTGTTCTATGATCCCACCCATAAATTCCCTATTACCACCATTTCCGCATTACAGACGCCTAGGATTTTCCTACCGCCAGTGGAGCTGCAGGGCCAAATCTGACCAAAGGTATTTTTGCTTAGGTGGCACGACATACCATACGTGACAGCTAGTACCAGTGCTGTCAAGTATGGTATGCCGTGCGACCGAAGCATATACTATCGGCTGCATGTTGACAGTTAATGAATGTTACGCGGTTATGCCGCAGCGGTTCATGGACTTTGGCCGAAAACTTCATGTCAAATTTCACTCTGAGCCCATAGGTCTCAAATAGACTGGTCTACTCCAAGTTGGCGATGAATTTCTAGGGAAATTAAAGAGTCGCAAAAGTGTTTTTCTTTGCCGAGTAAATTTGGTGCTTTGTGTAAACAGAAACACGGAGCTCCAGTCAGACTCCTAAATTAAGCACTTGGCGAACCCTTCCTTGCGTTAAGAATGCGCCTGAATCGTCAAAAGACACTTAAGGAAGCACCAAATTCGAGTGGCGCATATATATACGACTACTTGGCGATCTCAGCTAGTACATCCTTAGGATAGTGTTAGCCAGCTGAACAAGAAAGAGGTCGTCCACAAGGTCCCGTGTTATGAATGTACTGCCGTTTATTGTGGTCAAACTGGAAAATCCGCCTTAACGTGCATCCATGAACACCACTTGCCAATAAAAAAACGAGACCATCTGTCCCAAGTAGCCATGAATACCCTAAATACCCGGCATACCGCTTGGGACAAAGCTCGCATTGTCACTGTCTACCCTTTCAAGAAAAGCCGTAAATTCCTCGAGGCAACGCATTCGGATGAATCATGCATCAACCGGCGTATGGAATTGGATGCCGTGTATAGAAACCTAAAGTAGAAATGGAAGAGAAAACAGCCGATCAGATCAGACTAACACACGGCGGCCGCCTACCTGGGCAAACACCACGCGAGTATCGATTTTATGTGCACTCCCGACGTTATCTGCACCTTGCTCTCAAATTTGCTCTCCGCCTGTCTGACCACGACCTGGGGAATCAGCGTCCAAAATGTACGCCATAAAGCTTCTTGTCCCATAGAACCTATCTCATTTCAACTTGGGATGCCTATTTCCAATTTCTGAAATTATTCGCTTGATTATTATCTGGAGTTCATACACCAGAAACCGCATCGGGAACGCCGGAGGACCCACGAGGAGCCGAGTCCCTTGTAGCTGTGTCATGCAGCGGCAGAATATCGCCGAAAATATGTGTCTGGGTTTTTAGTTAGTACCTATTTAGGGGTACGGTATAATACGTTTGCCATATACATATATATAGGTGGTAGGGGGCCATTCCAGTCTCCCTTGTCTTTGTCGGTAATGTTATTCTGCCTATATATATAGGTCTATATCATGCGCCACTGTGAGGCTGCTGGTTGCGCTCGAGAGAGAGTCCGTAAGGCAAAACGGAACGAGTGAGTTCCGTAAGGACGATCGATGAGCGCCCCCTACCATATACATATATATCAGAGGGAAGACGACAGAGTCTGGGGGGTAGATTGATACAGCGCTGTTTCGGGCTTGCTTGCCTTCATTCGGCCAATCATAACCCTGACCACCAGTTGGCACCAGAAACACAAACATGCGCACAGACGCACCTGGCGCAGCTGGTCCACCACTGGGGTCTACCAGATGGGTCATAAGCCCTTCATCGAACCGAAGTTCATATGTGCCTCGCCATCTGCCATTCTCTGTCGCTGCAGATCAAGTGTTTATTCACTCAGGAATGGGCGCGCACCGATCCATTCGCTTCCCGAAGCAAACAAGCTTCGTATGGGCGATAGAGGTCACGAACAGGCAAAAACCTACCAGGCCGAAGTCGGCCAAGCTATGATAGCAGAGGGGAGATGACAGAGTCTGGGGGGTAGATATATGTATTAAAAGGAGAAGGCTCGTCGCAAAATCGAGGTATACTCGTGAATTTTCAAGTCGGTTACACCAACCCGTCCTCAGACGAAATGAAAGTGTGAGGGAGATAATCGCAGTGGGAAGCTGGGGGGACGTCGAGGTTACCTCGGCAAGACAGACGCTTATGTGTGGGGGGGGGGAAGAATGTGTTTGTATAGGTGGCGGACGTCCGCCTTACGGGCTCTCTCTCGGGCCCAATCAGCAGCCGCACAGCGGCGCATGATATAGGCAGAATGGTAACGGCTAATAAGCAAGAAATGACCATTCCAGTCTCCCTTGTCTTTGTTGGTAGTGCCATTCTGCATATATCATGCGCCGCTGTGCGGCTGCTGGTTGCGCTCGAGAGAGAGCCCGTAAGGCACAATGGAACGAGTGAGTCTCGGAAGAATGATCGGTGAACGCCCCCTGCCATTGTATATTCGCGATCGAAACTTACAGGGCATGAGCCTGTGGCTCAGTGGTTGGAGACGTGGAACTTCTAACTGACAGGTCGCGGGATCGAACCCCAGGTGCTTCACACTTCGGGGTTGGGTATGATTGGCTGAAGACGACTAATAAACCAGAAGTGTCCATTCCAGCCTTCCTTGTCTTCGCCAGTAATACCATTCTGCATGTATATATATATCAATATGCGTGATGATTCGAGGTCCAGATATATTACCGTGTTTGTCATCTCCTCTTCATCTTCCTCGGGAGATGACAAACACGGTAATATATATATAGATATATATGGATATAGGCAAAAATGCTGACCCCAGGTGTTAATATGGAAGAGGAGGATAAGGCGATCTCTGGGGAAGAAGGTTTATTCATCTGACGTTTCGTGTTCATACTCGAGCACATCTTCGGAGATAGGCTGAGCGAGAAATACAGGGTTTAAATAGGCCATCTGCACTCTCACCCGATAGGTTCGTCCCGTTCGCTTCTCGTTGCCCCCCCTCTCGCGCGTAGATGGTGCCTGACGGCCTCGTATGGCGCTGGCAAATCGATACTTCGGTTGATAGAGTTCGTGTCTGATTTCCAGGCCTCAATCACTTCCCTCGCCAGTTTGCTTTCGGCTCGGCCGAGCACCTGGGCGCCGTCAAAGTCGAACTTGTGATTGTTTTCCAGGCAGTGCATGGCGACATGCGATAGTACGTCCTTTCGCCTTACGGCTAAAGTGTGCTCATGCATGCGCGTTCTTAGGCGTTTGTCGGTCATGCCACAGTAGTTGGCTGGGCAGTCCAGACATTTGACGCGGTAAATAACGCCTGACGTGTCTGCAGGTGGTAGCCGGTCCTTGGGCTGCATGATTAAGCGGCGGATGGTGGCCTCCGGTCGGTGACCAACGCCCACGCCTAGCGGCCTTAGTATGCGCTCAGTGGCTTCGGAGACGTTACTCACGTAGGGCAAGACACGGAAG